ATGGAAAGTGTTTTGTGATATCTTTCCCTTTTAAAGGAGATATGAGATGCTATAGACAGTCTTCTATAATTTTGTTCAATACTGATCACCTTACTGATTTGGCTGTTCCATGTGGGAACTAGATACTCTTTCTGGTTTTGGGTGTCAACTTCTTCACAAATATTACTGTATATGCAGGTTTCAAGACTTAGGGATTATCTTTTTGTACTCCTCCCGTCTTCAAACAATCTTCTTGTTAGATTTGGACACACATATTAAGGATTTAGTAGGGTGGGGTAGATTTTTTAGTATATTGTAAAAAGTAAATATATTGATTGTAAAATTGGTAGTGGGTAAGAGAACCTGCATAATATAGAATGTAGAGTATGAATAGAGTTCCAGAGAAAGAGAGAGAGAGAGAGAGAGAGAGAGAGAGAGAGAGAGAGAGAGAGAGAGAGAGAGAGAGAGAGAGAGAGAAGTAACTAGAAGATTTTTTGTAGACATTCTTAAAAGGATTACAAGAAGATTATGTGGCTGGAGGGAGTAGCTATCAATTCGTTCATATTTGGTTTGTTTGTTGTGGGTATCAAATATTGTTTTTGATGCTGGAGTATTCGCTTGTTTATTTTCATCATCACATATGCGTGCTTCTGCCAATAAATGTGAAACAAATTTAAACAATCGGTTATTGTTCCCTTTTTCTTTTGTACTACAAATTTCCTCTTCTGATGTAACTACATACTCTTACCTAAATGAAATGGGCAATTTTGCAGTCACTAGTACGAGTGCTTGAATCATGTGCTGGAAGTGCAGGGTGCCATTCCCTTGTCTTGTTTCATGATCTGTTGGTGTCAACTTCTGTTTGTCCGGTATTTTCTGACTCCAATTTGTTTAGTATTATCATTTTCAGTAAAAGTTTTGTTGGGGTACATCACAGCACGCCTAATATATTTAGAATACTAATATCTAGTGTGATTTTCCAGGATGACACTGTCAACTTATATACTTACGCTGTTTTGAGGATGACTCCTCGTGCTTTATCTGCCAGTGGTAGCTCATGGTCCTATATACGTAAAGGAAATACTGCTGCTCATCTTACAACAGGATCCATCCTTCCAACTTCATCCACTTCTACAGAAAGAGTTCAAGGATCACGAGATACCTCCCCTAGTGGAGAAAATAGATATCTCATTGCAAGGCCTTTGCAGCAGGGCAAGTGGTCAAAAGGGAAGGATGGTTTTCTTGTAACTAACCAATGGGGATCAGATATGAATGCTTCGTTCCCCACTGTTTGGCTTCAGCAAACAAAAGAGAGAATGTATCTTTGTGCACACCAGCACAAAAATGTCACCATTATTCTTCTGATTCCTGTCACCTCTATTAATAATGCAGAAAGAGAGATACCTGTGCTGAAGCAGCAGCTTTTGGAGAATGTTAGTATCTATTTCTGCTCCTTATTTTAAAAGAATATGTGTATATCTTGTGCCAGTTGCCAAAAAATAAAAAATGCTAGCAACTATACTACATTATACAATCAGTGACTTTTTCCATATCTTATGGTAGCTTGCTTATTATTATTATTCTTTATTTTTTCTTGGTATTAATTTATTGACTGTGCCTGTGTCTTTGTTCATTAATGCAATTTTCCATACATATCTGTAGATCTACTCTTGAGTTATTAATTTATTTTTTTTAATTTAATACCCTATAATTTTTGTTCCTTCTGGTCCAATTTAGCTTGGTAATTTCATAAAATTTTGAATCTAGTGCTTTTGACTTATCCTTCAAATTTTTTTTTTAAAGGTCATTCTTATGCTGATATTGTCGAAATTCATTGTGTTTAATGTTGTTTATGTATGTTAAAAATCTGATAGGCATCATTAAAGATCTTGAAAGTTGAAGAAAAACTTGCAAAAGGTTGGGGAGGTGAGAATGCATACCATGTCAGTGGTTATCGGTATCTGTTAGTGGATGGTGATAGATGCGTGTCCAGGGCTTCTCCTGCAGCAAAAGCTGCAACCTTAGCAAAGGTAGCCTTCCGATGCTAAGAAATTGTGCTACATTCGCTTAAATTGAGTATTTTTTACCCATATCTTTTACTTTATTCCCCCCCCCCCTCCTCCCAAAAAAAAAAAAATAATAATAATAATATAGCACCCCAATCAAAGCTTATAATATGAGTAACGGTGGAATTCATAGCATCTGTCCATTATGCATAGCGTTATGTATGAGTTTAGTTTTGATTGTACTCCTATTTAATTTAATTCTATCTGGTATTTCCAGGAATCTTTGGTTGCAATGTGCAAGCTGAGGGAAGAGGTTGACATGGAAAAGAGTAGAACTAAAGATGATGATGTAAATCATGATAAAGACCTGGAAGTGTGCATCAGGGCCAAAAATAACTCATGGATTGTTGCTCGGATATTGAGAGGAAAAGAGCTCTATGTGGTTTTGGAGAAAGCCAACGAAACACTTCTTTATGCATCAGATGCCATTGAAAAGTTCAGCAACAGGTAATTATTTATTTATTATTTTAGATTTAGCTTCCTGTCTTACTCTTTTCAAAAGCAGGGTGTTAGCATTCAGCCACCTTACTGTGAATTACATATATATTTAGACCATCGGATGTGATTAATCAAGTCACACATTTTTTCAACCACTTAGCACATAACAAATCATTGAAGGTACTAAATGGCGGGCAAGTAAGCTTAATTTCATCTTGATGATCTTATCTGGATGATCTTATCTGGATGATAGAGTTCAAGGATGCATTCTGATTTTAGATTCATATGTTTTACTTAAATAAACTATCCTAGCATCATTAGTATGTTACTTGGACTCCGGTTATTATGTCAGACGTGAGTATGATTCTAGTGTGCATACCCATGGTGGGGCACAGATACTTGAGGTGAAAAGAAGAATCTACATAACATAGACTCGATGAGTAGTGCTTCACCATTTTGTATTAAATTTTCTGTGAGAGGGCGGCTAAAACAGTTGAAAGGTCAGGCCACAATTTTTAACCCATGGAGACTGGTATTTTTTATATACCATGATTCTCAAACATGTTTCGACGGTTGCGTTATCTGGCTGTCACTCCCTTGGTTTTTAGTTTAATTCTCTCTCCCTGCTACTTGGGACATATTCTCATTCTTTTTTGGGTATTCAAGTTATTTTTGGTACAAGTTAGGCATTTAATTTATTTTTGGTACAAGTTTGTTATGACCTCAGCTAGTGAGCCCTGTTCTGGCTGTGTTGTGTAGACTTCTCAGTGGTTCATCAGCATTGGCTGCTTAATTTTGTTGGTCATGGTGATTGTTCATTGTAGTGTCCGAGGGCTTCTTTAACTTTGAGTAACAGCTGAACTAAATACTTTAGATAAATTCCTCATTTTCAAGTCCTGTATTTGCACTTTCATGTTACATTAATGGGACCTATAGTGATACATTGCTATAATGTTCAATTATTCATGTTCTTCACTCGAAATTGTAGGTATTGCAATGGAACTTTCTCATAGAGTTCATATTTGTGGAAAGCTAAATGCAAAATGAGGCAGAGAAGAAGCTTGTATCATTCTTTTTAGACTTTTGCTTAGAATCATGGCACCATATTATGTACATTTTTGTTGAATATAGGCGGATATATGTCTAAATAGTTTTCTAGTTTATTGTAAAATGTCCAGTTCTGTATTTGATGGGATCTATTCACATTGTTGGATCAATATTATTGCTGTTTTAATTGTGTATATATGCGTTTTTTATTTTTATTTTTAATATATTGGTACAATAAACGCCGAAAAGTTGTTTATTTCCATCCTCGCCATTTTTGTACACCATCGTTCTTGGCACAGCTGCAAGGCCTGCAACAATGCTTAAAGAGTTCGAGTTCGGCTCAGCAAGTCGTAAACAGTAAACACCCATACTGATCGCATTTAACAATTACCAAACTAAATTGCGGTTTCTTAATGCTTAAAGAATATGAGTACTCGAGTAGCATGTTTGATGGGGGAACTGCCCATTAATTTATGTCATTAAGTTTATAAAAACAACGATTTTGGTGGGTTTAATGGAAGAATTTATTCTTCTAGTTATTTTTATCTTGTTCGTATTTTTGTATGGTTATTTAATTTAGTAATAGAATGCAGATTAAAAATAAATAAATAAATAAATAAAAATTTGACGAATAGAAAGAAAATACTCACTCCATGTTTTATAATAAGTGTTACACTTATCAAATTCGGCCGTGTTTTAATAAGTGTTACACTTTATTTTTTGACAAAAATCTTCAATTTTAATACTATATCTTTCTCTTTTATGGCCCCCCACCCAAACCCATTACTTATTTTTTTATTATTTCTTTCCTCTCACATTCATTATTTTACAATAAATTATTAACCCTACTATCTTTATTTTACAATTTTTTAATATTCCAACTACCCCACTAACCTCTTATTTTATTTAAGTCAATTAAATTGTCTAAAATTATGTGCCGGTCAAAGTGTAACACTTTTTAAAATACGAAGGAGTAATGATTTTGGGTTTTTACATCAGTATCATACAATATCCAAAATCTTGTGTTTTTTTTAAGAAAATCTAAAATCTTAATATACGAATTAGTAGCAAAATGTTTATCTTAAATTATTATTTTTTGCCAATATTACAATATAATTATTGAAACTAGAGTAACAAATTAGAGTAGTAAAAAGTCATTATAAGAAATATCTGAACTCTAAGATCGAATTAAATAATCATGGTAAAGGCTAAGTTCACAAATTTAATTACCTAATATAACCAACAAACAATGACAATAAGTTCCTAAAAAATAAGTTGTGCTTTTTTTTATTTATTTATTTTTTATTTATATTATTATTATTATTATTATTATTATTATTATTATTATTATTATTATTATTATTATTATTATTATTATTATTATTTTTATAAATTAACTGTACTAAATATAGATATCCTAAATATGCTTGAAGAACAGACAATAACTAACTATCTCGATTAAAAGCTTGATTAGCTTCGACGACCTTTCCTTCCCCAAGTAAGAGAAGGCCTCAGCAATTCACCCCCTTCAATGGCAAAGCAAAGACAACCATCTTCCTTTGATCGATTCGCGACGACGGTAATCACATCTCCTTCCTCTAGCCGAAACTCTCTTCTCAAAGTATTCCAGCTTGGGTTGGCACCATTCAACACATACCTATATCCGCATTGATCTGGATAATCCCATCGAGTCAGAAACATGTTATGCGCCTTTACCGAGTTACACCCTCTAACCTTCACCTGTATCTTGCACTTTCTATCATACTTATCCACCTTTTGAAGGAACCTCTCTTCTCTATTACTCAAGAACTTGTTACAACATTTCGATTTTGGGATTGATAGACGTGCCTGGTGAGGGTTCACGTCGGAATTCTCGAGTTTTTTAACAATCACTACCCTTACATCATTGTCATCATTAAAGTCTTGCCGATTAATAACAGCACTAGCATACTCCGTAGATGGTAGCCTTTTTTGTTTTTTTATACCATTCGAATAATAATCAACCGACTTCTTCCTCTTCTTCTCGTCCCTGTAATTGTTACTACTATCATCGTCTTTCTTTTTGATGTGCTCCTTCTCTTCGTTTAGCATTAATCTATACGAAAGGCGTTTCTTCGGAGGTTTAGAATTCTGGTTCATGGTTAAACAAGAGGGAGTGTTGTATTTCATATAGCCAAATAACGGAAGATTACATGCAATGGCAAGTTTGCAAATGCCAAATATCGTAGTGTTATTTTGCGACTCCATGGAAATATCCTCCATATTCAAAGGAAGAAATAGACTCGAATTCGGAAATTCTAGTATCAAAGAGAAAGGAAGAGAAAGTACTAATTGAAATTGAGACTGAAAAATTTAAGTAAAGCTTGAAAATAATGAAAATTGGCAATGAAAGTGTATCTTATATAAGAAGGGAAGAGTCGGTGTTATTGTTTCCTAATCCAAGTCGATCTCCTACAAATTGCATGTTATTTTACTTGCGGCCAAATTTTACAACTTCCTCTAAATTTTATCATTTTTTTTATCAAATTCGATCTTTTGTTAGATTTTATTATGTCTAAGATATGCAATTCAGTAGAAGAGGTAGTCACTACTAATTACCAGCTCACCCGTTAATTAATACCAATTCTTATAAATATAAATAATAATAATAATAAAAAAAAGGAGTAATGTACTCACTTCTCTCAAATTAATTGTCTTGTAAGGTTTGGGCATCCATATGTGGGAATTATAATTTTTTTTTATTGTTTTTATTTTTTAATAAAAACAATATCTATTTTGCATGTTGTTAACGCTAATTTTGGGGAATAATATCTAACTATCATTATGTACAAAAAAATAAAATATAAATTGTTTATTTTAATTTAGGAAATACTATTTGGATTTAGACAATTATAACAAAATCTTACATTATTAGGGTTGTTCTTATACATAAATCACCAACAATGGTCAAGTCAAACTATGGCACATAAATTAAAAAAAAAAAAAAAAAAAAAAGTAGTGTTGAGGCCTAATCACATAATTAAGGTTGGATGAGACGAGTGATGAGGTGGATGTTTTGGTTTAGTTACTATAACAATCACTACCTTCGCTTCTTATTATGTGTAACAAAGAAATATTTTATATATATCTAACAAATAATACCCTTTTATTATACATAATAAGAATTAAAATAGATGTTTACATGACTATTATACAGGACATATAAGGAAGTACAAGTAAATAAAGAAGGGTGTATTTGACATTATTGTTTGATAACAATAATTCTATGCTTAATTACATAGTGCTCCTTTCGTATTTTATTATTTGCTCCATTTTTTCATGTGCGGAGTTTTTAGAGAAACAATAAAAAGTACTCCCTCCGTTTTTAAATACTTGCTTCAATTCTATTTTTTACACTATTCATTTGTCCTACTTTGACTAATGTTTGTGATTTATACATAAGAAAAAATATAGTCTTGTGGGTACTTGTTAGAATCGTCTCAAATATATTATTAATTTTCAATTATTAAAATTTATACTTATTGATAGTTAAATATATTATTGATCAAAGATTAGCATTGGCATACATGTCTGGGAGAAACAGAGCAACAATTTTAAAGCGGGGGGAGTAATAAAATATGAAGGAAGTTGGGTTAGTGAAAGAGTAAAGTATGATAGTTGTGAGGAGAGAGAATTTGAAAATATTAAAATGTGATAGTTGTGGAGAGATTAAATTAGTAAAATATTGTAGAATATTTCCAAAAAAAAAGGAAATGGAACAAGTAATAAAACACAGTTGCAAAAGAAAAGTGTAACAACTAATAAAATATGGAGGGAGTATAGTCTATAGTACTATATATCATTTTATTTTAGTGTTATTTTATTAATCAACAAACTTCTCTCTTATCTTATTATTCCACTCCATAAGTATAAACTACGTATTTATATATCACTTAAACTCTATTTATTTTTAGTTTGTGATGTATTTTTGTGTATATACTTCATTTATAAATAATGGAAATTACCTACCAGAGTTTCACCGTAACATATTATTTTAGTGTTAATTTTATTAGTCAACAAACTTCTCTCTTATCTTATTATTCCACTCCATGTGTATAAACTACGTATTTATATATCACTTAAACTCTATTTATTTTTAGGTTGTGATGTATTTTTGTGTATATAGTTCATTTATAAATAATGGAAATTACCTGCCAGAGTTTCACCGTAATATCGGACAACGAAGATTGAAACTAGAGTTTATTAAAAGTAAAATTATTAATTTAAACTTTTAAGTTTTAAATATTCTTTATTATATTACTCTATCCCTAAATTTTTGCCTCGTCATACTTTTTAATTTTTTACGGTCTTCAAAATACATTGTTAAACATAAATTTTCTATACACGCAAAAATTATGAAAATTTGAAATGTTTAGAGTAGACTTTGTAACGAAACTAACAAGATTTCACTTTTTTCTCTTAAGAAAAGGGAAATACTTTACTTAGTTAATAATAATCCAGTAGTACAAGTTCAAAATTGGCATGCTAGTAAACCAATAACAGAGGCCCTTCCAACAAATCCAAAACAAACTAAAAGCTATTGTAGATACTTGATTGTGTCTCCCCAAAAACCAAACCCAATGAGTATCTTTCACGTCTTTGATTATCGAGTTAGGTGAAGACTTAAAGAGTCTTGTGAAGTTCCCTTTAGCCTTGACCATCTATAGCCTTTCCTAAAATGTTTTAATCCAAAATCATTCATTTCGTGTCCTCTTTATAAAAACGTCCAAATCAGTTTATTTTGGTCAATAATACTGTTTTAATTATTGTTTAGTTAGACGGGGCTTGAAAAGAGCGTTCCAACGATATATTATAAGTCCAAATTTGAGTTATAACGAAGAAGTTATGGCCAAAATACTATACTGAGCCCAAAGCCCCAAACCGAGCCTTACCTACGACCCAATGATCATGTGGAGGGTCCATTAACCTTAACCTCGTTCTTAAACCTATTAGGATTTATTACAAGCTTCTAGAATCCTCTAGAAGGTTTTTTCAATCCTAAATCCATTAGGATTTATTATTAGCTTTTAGAATCTTCTAGAAGGTTCTAATTTATCCTGTTTTTGAAAAGATAAAGACTTAAGGATTTACATCGGATAAAACATTTGTTTTTCAATGGTTTTAATTATAATAAAATTAGAATACATACGGAAATTCGATTAATCCAATTTGATTGAAAGTTGGATTCTGTACGGATTCTATCTTCCAAAAACCATCGCTGAGCGGTGGAACCATCGTGTCACGATAAGCATCTAGCATCGCGATAAGCCTATCGCGCCGCGATGGAACTTGTTTTACTCCGAATCGGATTCTGACTCTTTTTCTGATCTTCGACCCTCGTTTTTTTCTTATAAATTGAGGTGAAATCACCCCGTTTTCATTCACTAAGCTAAAGCTTATTCTCTCTCTCTAAGCTAAAGTTTATTCTCTCTCTCTCCCTCTCTCTCTTTCTTAATTTATAGCCTAGCCTTAATCTAGCCTTAGCCTAAACACGTTCCTAAACACACATCCTTGATACTTTCCCTAAACAAACACCATACCTCATTCACGAGCCTTGAATACTCTTAGCCAACCTCGAAGTTGCCTTCGACCTCAACGTGAAAGGTTGATAGTTCTGAAGGTTTGGTCCCAAATCCATATTTCAACTCTCTTTTAATTTATTAGATTTAATCTTTCTTGAAGTTACTAACGTGTGTATTGTTTTGATAGAAAAAGATACGAGGCGTCCAAGTAAGTAGTTCAATTACTTAATTAGTCCTTTGACATAGAAATCATGCTTAGAATATTATTTTAATTCCTAGTATCATGTTAGGATGTTTTATGATTTCTAGTATCATGTTAGGATGTCTGTATGCTTTCTAATTTCATGTTTAGGATCTTTATTATTAGTGACATGCTGGGATTTCTTATTAATCTGTTTAGTATCATGCCTAAGATCTTGCTAATAATCATATTTTGATGGTATTATTATGATGATGATTATTGTGTCAATAATTATACATTGCTTGATTATTCATGATTTATTGTTATTGCTTGATCACGCCCTTTCTTGCAGGTTTAAAGAGAATTTTTATTTGAAATCACGCATAATAAGATAATTAATAATTTGGTTTAGGCTAATATGATTTTAATTCAAGTGATAAACAATATTAGATTTATTTGTGCATTAATAATCAACCAACGTATATTAAATATGCTTAGGATCACTTTGATGAATGTATGTTGATCGAAAAGCGCATATGAATATCATAAGAATTAAGTAGAGGCCGATTTAGGGCGGGTTTAATCTCTTTTAGGTTGGATTCGTACCATCATTCCCGAATATCCAGTCATTTTTCAGGACCACTATGGAGTTAGCGATTCCGTGATCTTGAATGGGGTGTAACCTTCACACCCGTGAACGATTTACAAGTTCCTGAAAATTGTTGGCGACTCTTTCATCTCTAGCTTCTTTCCCTTTGAACGCCACCATGCTTAAAAGCATGATCACAGTGGGGCTTAAAGTTGATGTTTGAAATATTCCCTACAGTTTTTGGCAACTCCGTTGGGGAGGATTTCTAATTTTGATTCCTAAAATTTATTTTGGCAATTGACTTTAGAATGAGTGGACGAGACTTGAAAGATTCTAGATATTCATGTGCGTAATTTTGATTAACATTGTGGCATAAGCATAAAAAGGTCCGCATTGGAAAGACCATCCGTAATGCGTCAAAAACATAGGATTTTTACACGTAGGAAAAGCCGGAAATATCTTTTACAACTAGAATAAAAAAGATTGCGAAAATCGAAAAATCCGAAGAACATAGAAAACTGCCGTGACGCGCAGGAACTGTCGCGAGACAATAATGTCTATCATCATGCGACAGCTCTATTAATACGCGATAGGGTTGTCGCTGCGCGATAGACCCTGTTTTCTCGCGCCGAGTTCTTTCGACATCGAGCCACGAATCTGCGTTCTTGTTTTGACCGATTCTAGAATTGTGTCGCCGATTCTACTTCCTAATTGATTTTTTCCTCTGAACCCATATGTGACATTATATGACTTTAGCCCTTGGGAATTCACGCTCCAAAAACCTAATCGAATGCTCCGTGCAACGACGGGTACATCCGAGATTGTGAATTCACCAAACCATGGAAGCACATCTACTTGCAGGGTCCCATCCATCCGCGCCAACCCTTCCAAAGGTAAGGCTTCCGTGCGATGCATCCGGAATCATAACCAT